ACATGGCCTCAAAAAAATCCTTGTAATTTACCAACCTTAGTCATTATTAAAAACAATTCACTAATATATTAAATATTTCTAATTATCTTTATGTTTGTATTTTACTGTTTAATAAATTATACAGATTTTGTTATTTTAGTAAATATTTCTCACTAAATAACACTAGGTTTTAGTTGAACATGTCTTATGCAAAAATTTACTATTATTTGAAAAAGAGTTGTCTATCATAAAATCTAATACAATATGCTAAATACAGAATTATAATTATGTTTTATTATATTATAGTAGTTTATCATTAATAAATATTACTTCTGATAAGTTATTTCATTCATAATACGCAAAACTCGATTTATGAAATCAAAATTGAAATTCACTATTAATTATCAAAAAACCTAGACCATTTTTAGTCATTTTTATATATTTGACTTTATAAGGCATTATAAATTATAAACATTATCATAAATTAAATTTCTGAACATATAAATAGGCCAGAAATCATTTTAATATTACAATACTGCAATTAAATCAAATAAAAGTTTAAATTAAATTAGCGTAAACTTCACATAATGACGACTTATACAGGACTCGTAATATGTATGCTAGTATTAGTCAACCCGGCATTTACCCAAGAAATACTTTATGGGTGCTACAACTTTTCAATGCCTGGTTGTACATGCAGATTTGACGTGGTAAGTTTTAGACGTTAAAATAATTTAAAAAAATGATTATCTTGCTTAAAAATGTATTACTGAATACTAAGAGGGCTTTCGATAACATATACTGGAGTTCACTTGAGTGCGGTTCAACTGTGGGCACGACATACGACTTTGGGTCGAATTTACTCAAACTGAATGGACGTCGATTTGATGAGCTCACCATCTCTGCCTACCCTAATAACCGGCTACCAGACACGCCTTTTCTCGGCCAAAACATTAAAAACATCGTTATTAAAGACTCTCCTAAGTTAAAATATTTTGGTGCGCCGACGTGTAAGACAGGAGTCGGCTTTTTCAACAATTTAGGCCCCAGTTTGGAGACATTAACGGTTTCCAACTGCCCGGCCATCGAGTCGGACGAGTGGTCAAACATTGCCAAACAATTAACATATGCCGGAAGTGCTGCCGATGCAGTCTTTATGGTCGATGAACTTCCTGTTCCGGCCCTTGCCTTAAAAAATTGATCCTGGTAAAAGTGACCCGACCAAATGTCCTAGATGCGTTTAGAGGTTTGGTACCTAATCTAGAATTGTTGGCCATGCGATCATGCGCATTCACAAATCTAAACTGTGATTTAAGCTCATATAATAAATTACATACATTGGATTTGGCCCTAACGCCCCAAATGATCAACCTCGAATTAAAAGGTGTAACACCGAAATATTTATTACTAAACAATTGCGGTTTAACTGCATTTTCTTATAACACTATGGACCAAATGTTGAAAGCTGATTATGTTAACTTAGCAGGTAAAACTATTTATGTTTTTCAAGTTGTTAACTCATAACATTATATTAAAAATATAGGCGTTTCGAACAATTAACATTATGATTTTAAACTACATACATTAAACTAATAGGGAACAAGCTGAATTGTCATTGCGAAAATTTACCACATGGCTTTATCACTCGGGCATATGAAAAGAAAATGCCGAACGCTCGGTGCGCGGCACTAATCGAAGCAAACAATGCCCAATACGCGAGTATATGTGTGGTGAAAGAGACCTCGTTGTTTCACAAATTGTTGGGCAGTAATAAAAGTTATTGATCATGTTTATTTTGTTCAGTTTTTATTTTATTTTTAAAATCAGTTTTGTTTCTAAAATAATAAATTTTACAATTATCTGCTTCTTTACAATTTGCAACATTTATTAAATTAAATAAATCAATCAAAGATATTTTAAAATATTTTATTATAAACAAACCAATATCAATTGAATGTTTTATTAATATATTACTTAACAATTACAACAATAATTTTAACTGTATAATTATATGCCAGAATAAAATTCATATCGAAATAATTAATTGATTAACAATAATTGTGTTAATTATTGCAAAATAATATAATTATTATAAATTAATAGTTTGGAAAGTGACTCAACTATTAAATTAACAGGATGCTATATCTAATAAGATGCTATTAAAAAATTATATACTATGTAGATTATTTATTAGATTATTGTATTATTAGAAAGTATAAATAGCCGTTATAAAACACAGTCCAATAATAAATTAAAATTATTTTTATTGTACAGTACATTACAATATAATAATCCTTTTTAATTTTTATTAGCTGTGTTATATTTATTTAATATATAATAAATAATGACATTTTATGCACAGATAAGTATTACCTTAATAATCCCAATTATTAATTTATGAGTGTTTTATAAGCCGATATATTTTAGTATAAATTCAATGTAAAACTTGTTACAACATTATTAAAATATTTTGATTGAAACAATGAGCAACATTTTAATCAACAACACTCTGCTATGTCTAGTGTTGGCCATCTGTCCACTGGTATTGCACGCAAATATTTATAACTGCTTTTCAGGCAAAATACCCGGTTGCAATTGTACCACAAATTGGGTATGTAACCATAATGATACAGTATATTAGTTATTTAATCAAAACGTATTGGGAACAGAATAAGGTCGAATTTACGTACAAAGTTGTGCTGTCGTGTACGGGTGCTGTGGGCACAGCCACCGAGTTTGGTGACAATCTGCGCAAACTTACCAAAGGCTATCAATTTGATGATTTTATAATATCCGCTTATCCTAACACTCGCCTCCCGGACGCCCCCTTCGACGCCTCCACTTCTATCAAACGTATAATCATTAAAGACTCGCCCAAATTGGAGGGCTTCGGACCGAAGGGTAAGCCCGACACCGGACTCTTCAAGAATCTGGGCCCAGTCTGGAGACACTCGTGCTGTCCAACAACCCGGCCATCCGTATGGATGAGTGGGAGAATATTGCTAAACAGCTTAGTTCAGATAAGCAAGGTGATTTGGCCCTAAAAACCTTGGTAATTGAAAAGAGCCCTGAGCTTGACGACCTTGACGTAATAGAGAATTTGGCCCCAACCTTGCAGACCCTGGTACTCCGAGCCAACGGCTTCTCTAATTTTAATTATGATCTAGCTGCATACGCGGTTTTAAATGTGCTTGATCTATCAGAAAATCAGGCGCTTAAAAAGTTTTCAATTTGAACTAGATAACAAGCTACACTGCGATTGCTATAATCGTCCACCAAGTTTTAATAATGAGGACAACGAAAAAAGGTTTATGGGCTCGCGTTGCGCTACACCGGCTGCGGTCAATGGTGTTCCTTATACAGGCATGTGTTTGCCGCATAACTTTTGATTTGTAACAAAACAACCATTGACTATAGTGATGAATTTTAGTTATCCAGAGTATATAAAATATTTTAATTTATGCTAAATTATATTTATCACTCAAATTAAATGCTAAATACAGAATGTAAGTTTACAATTATATAAGATTTTATATAATTAACTTTATAAAGCATTATATTGTATTTATTTAGTTGAATAATACAGATAATAATATTATTAACTATATTATAACATTGATATCAAGTAGTTTTTCTTAATAAATTCTAAAAAGTATTAGTTTAAAAATTCAACAAAATTAAACTTAATCAAAATCCTATTTAATTATTGTTGAGTGAGTAGATTCGCGAGCGATCACCTGATATTGTAAACCACAGTAGTGGACAATAAACCAAACACTTCGTACAATTAACAAAACAATTACTTTATTATAAGAAATATAAATGAGAGAAATGCCTTCGAAGAGGACTTGTAAATGACTGCGAATAATACATGAAATGAGAGAGTCTTATATAGGGCTAATTGACATTAAGGTAATTAACAGGTAATGAGTATAATAGACTCATATCGTATGATTATGATGTGTTCGAAGGGTGCGCTGATTGGATAAGGAGCCCATCATATTCATGATGAGTATTCACTGGAAAAGTACCAGGAGTGACTGTTTCATATTCACGACAATTATCTATTTATTAAATATAAAAATAAAGCAGTTTTTTAATCAATTTCATGCTAATATAGATAACAATAAGTTTCAATAATAAAATAGGATTATGATATTAAATTATGATGAATACAAAATATATTATCATATTATTATTTAATACTGTAAAAACAAATCGACATTCAATATAAACACTTATACTCAGATAAGACAATTAATGTGAAGGTAAAAATATGCGTATTTTAATTGCAATAATTGAATAAATAACTAAAATTTTACTTATTTTTCATCATTAATAGAAGCATTGAAACACCGAACACAATGCACATCTTAAGTATTGTAATTGGCATTATAATAACCATCTGTCCCTTTGGGACAAACGGTGGTATTTACACATGTTATAGTGATGTTATACCAGGATGTACATGCACATCAGTTTGGGTATGCCAGCATGATACTATTTTTAAATTAAATTTTTTAGCATATTTGTCGCAAAACTTTTATTCTGTATAATTTAATAACTATATAATCGTTATTATTAAAATAATTATATAAAGCTACAATATTATATTATTAATATTATTTAATTAATCAAGGTGGTCGCTGACTACAGATACAAGACTACAATGACTTGTAGTAATGTCGGTACGGCAGCTAATTTCGCGAAAAATCTAAACAAAGCTCAGGGCTACGAATTTGACGATTTTATACTTAGCGGTTACCCTAATGTCCGGCTGCCTGACGCGCCTTTCAACAGCGATACAGTTATCAAACGTATTATAATAAAGGATTCGCCTAATTTGCAGGCTTTTGGGTCAGGCCTGCCGGTGGCCAATGGATTTTTTAAAAATTTGGGCAATCATTTAGAAACAATAGTATTTTCAAACAACCAGAATATAAGGTCTACAGAATGGGCAACAATTGCCACACAATTACCAGGCAGAGAGGTGGCATTGAAAAATATTGAAGTTATATCGTGTAAAGAGTTTAAATCACTTGAGGTTTTCAATGGTTTTAGAAATAATCTGGTCACATTGATACTGCGTGGGACTGGCTTGGTCAGTGTTGATGCTAATTTAAGCGAATTTATAAATCTAGAATTGTTAGACCTGTCCGAAACTCCTGGGCTTACAAAATTTGAACTTTCAGCTGATCTACCGAATAACTTAAAGAATATATTTATGAATGGCTGTTCATTGGATACATTTAGTATAAATACAATGAACAAATTAACCGCATCTACCACTAAATACGTGGGCTTAGCAAGTATGATCAAATTAAAATTTTACTACTTTATTATGATTATTTATAAATGTCAACAATATTTAATTTTTAAAAACCTATTTTTGTACAGGGGATCATTTGAACTGCGAGTGCGCTAATCTACCTCCACACTTTGTGAACGACGATAATATAAAGAGATTTCAAGGGGCAGTTTGCGAGACACCCGCTGCGGCCAGAGGCAAACCCTATGCCAGTACTTGTATTGATAGTTAATCGCAAAACCGTTCCTAAAAATGTTTAATATTTTTCCATTAAATCCTATCGTAATAATTATAATAAATTGTTTTATGTTCAAATATATTTTTGGATAATCTAAATATATTTATACATTTTACACTCCTAAGATATTATAAATTTTTAACATTAATAAAATTATATTTGAAGTGGCATAATAGTTTATTCATAGTGTAGATTAGGCGATATAATATATTGTGATACGTGAGCATAAATAAACTATAGAAAGGGAGAGGGAATGGGTAACACATTTTGTGGACTGGGCTGATTGTAAGTTCGATATTATGGCAGGTAAAGTATTTGTTTTTATGAGTAATGCACACAAATTAAAACAATCATAAGCAGGAACCGGCACAGTTTAAAAATAATTAGACGTGAATTTTGTTTGACTTTGTATGATTTCTCGTACATTACTCATGATAAATGTTACGCTTTTTTAATTAGTGACTGCCCTTTGTAAATTTTTATATTCATTAAGTTTATTGTTTATAAATATAGGAAACCCTCATTAATATTAGTAACATACTATATATGAATCACCATGTATGAAAGTATTTAGTAGCATAAATTATAATGCAATAAATGTTCCCAGGAACATTCAATGCCGGTTCATGATCATAAGTGTCAAGGAATTAAAATTTTATTTACTCGTTAGATTAATCTAATTATTAAATACCAAGATTAACCAATTTGTTAATCAATTTCATGCTTATTTAGATAAAAATAAAGTTTTATAATAAAATAGGATTATAATATTAAATTATAATTAATACAAAATATATTATCATATGAATATTTCTAAATAACGTAATCACGTTTAATATAACCACTTAACGGCCGATAAGACATTTAATGTGAAGGTAAAAATACGCGTATTTTAATTGTGATTCCTGAATAAAATATTAAGATTATAATTATTTTTCATCATTAATACACGTATTAAAACACTGAACACAATGCATACCATAAGTAATATAATTTTAATTGTAATAACAATTTGGCCGTTTGGGTCATACGGGGCTATATATGGCTGTTATAGCGGTGTCATTCCGGGCTGTACATGCACATCTACTTGGGTATGTTATCTAGGTGCAATATTATTTTAATTATGAAATTACTAATGAAAAAATATGTTATATTTATTTTATAATATTATACACTCTTAAATTAATAATAATAAAGCTGAAATAAATTATAATATATCAAATTAATATATTAAGTACTTATTTATTGACCAAGCTGGCGGCTGATTTTAGGTACAAGACATCAGTTATCTGCAGTAATGTCGGCACAGCAGCCGATTTCAAAGAAAACCTACACAAAGCTCAGGGCTTTGAATTCGATGATTTTCAAATCATTGGTTACCCTAATGTCCGGCTGCCTGATACACCTTTCACAGAGAAAACAATTATCAAACGCATTATAATTATGAATTCGCCTAATTTAAAGGGTTTCGGTTCAACTGAAGAAATAGGATTTTTCAATAATCTGGGCACATCTTTAGAAACCCTTGTATTTTCTAATTGCCAGGGTATAATGAGTAGCGAATGGGAACACATTGCCAAACAGTTAAATAAAAAAGTAACGAGTAAAAATTTAGCACCACCACCGGCATCAACTTTGGTGCTAAAAAATTTGGAAATTATATCGAGCGGAGAATTTGATGATCTGGCAACTATTGATGGTATGGCTGCAACTCTGGTCACACTTATACTGCGCGGCACTGGCATAACTAACTTTAATTTTGATTTAACCGCATACGCCAAGCTGGAATTGTTGGACCTTTCCGAAACCCCAGGACTTAGAAAGTTCGAGCCTTCAAACGCGCTACCTGCTACATTGATGAATATATTTATGAATGGTTGTTCATTGGATAAATTTAGTCCCAAGACAATGGGTTACTTAATTAAAGCTAGTTCAGTGGGCCTAGCAAGTAAGACTTTAAATAAAGTATTTATAATTTAATATAAATAAATTATACCAATTTAATTGACCAGGGGACCATTTGGATTGTTATTGTAATAATTTACCTGATGACTTTGTGAGCGACGCAAATATACAGAGATTTAGAGGAGCAGTTTGTCAGACACCCCCTGACACCAGAGGCAAACCCTATGGTAGTATCTGTACTCGAACTTAATTGGGAGTGCCGTTACCGTTATTATAACCCATAGTTGCTGTATAACACTATCTAAATATGATAATAAAATGGATTTTGATTCAATATATTTTTAATAAATAAAAAATATTTTTGCATTCACAATTTATAATTAATTGTTAAATATTAGCTTTTATAAACACAATAACATTTATGGTAAATTAAATTATAAATGTAGACAAATTTATTTGAGAATCCTAAACATTTTAAAAATATTTATATAACTGATTATGCTTGTTCTGTGATGATTTCATTTGAATTTTAAAGTATTCCTATTTCATCTCATGGAATTGTTTATATTTTCAAATGTTCAATCATTATAAAATAGTTATTGTTTATATTGTAATTTAATTATATTTTATAAACTTATAAAAGTGAGTTTTTATCTAATTATTAAACCGCCTTGATAATTATTTTAACGTTTAATATTAAATACACATTTATAAAGCTATAAAATAATTAACTAAATAAATAAAGAATAATAAAAATCACATAAAATATTGAGATGAAAATTCCAACACAAATATAATAAGTGTATCCGAAGTGACAGTAAATTTAAATTTAATTAAAATGAAAGCACTTTTCGTATATCTGCTAATAGCCATCTGTCCACTAGTCGCCCAATCGGCCAGATATGGGTGCTATTCCGGCACAATACCTGGATGTAAGTGTACATCAGGCCCGGTATGTAAAAATTATATTACTTAATAACAGCTTAATAATTGTCATTAACTTTACAACAAACTCAGAGCGCCGGCGACTATGTATACAAATCAACCCTTCAGTGCACCGATAGTGTGGGTCCGGCCGAGGACTTTGGCGTAAGCCTATGGAGAACTGGTGGCTATTATTTCGACAACTTTGTGGTGGAGGGCTATCCCAACGCCAGACTCCCTGACCGGCCGTTTGTCGCGCAGACTGTTATCAAACGCGTGATAATCCGGGACTCAAAACAGTTGGAGGCGTTTGGATCCGGAGCCGAGCCGGGGGTCAGTTTGTTCACTAATCTGACCCCTGGTTTGGCAACACTTATAATCGCTAACTGCCCGTCCATTCGGGAACAGGAATGGCCCAGTATTGCCAAACAACTGGCCGGTCAACGAGGGGTTAACTCTACCGACATGGATGTGATAGGTCTGCAGCACCTGGTGGTAGTGAACAGTAAACTCGATGATATAAGCCTGATCCAGGACCTGGCGCCCAATCTGGAGACACTGTCCCTAAGAAACACTGGCATAACTAGTGTTAAACATGACTTTAGACCGTACTCTAGGCTACGAGTACTGGACCTGTCGGACACACCGGGCCTTAAGAGGTTTGCTATCACTGGCCAGTTGTCGCCCACTTTGCATAATGTATTGCTAAACAACTGTGATTTGCGCACGTTTAATCTGGCCACTTTAGAACAATTGACCATGGTTGATTTTGTAGCCCTAGCAGGCAAGTGAATAAATTGCATTATAATAATAAACATTTTAAATATGATCATATTATTAATTACAATTTTAGATTTATTTAATTTAACATAGATTTTATTTATTTTAATAGGTAACAAGTTAAATTGCGAATGCTCATACCTTCCAGCTGATTTTGTAAATAACGCAAATGCAAAACGGTTTTTGGGTTCCCTGTGCGCCGCACCCGAACAGACCAGTGGTATGACATATGGCGGGGCGTGTATTATGTATCCAAATATGTCACCTGTCGGTCAATTATTGGTGTCCGGGTTAAGAAAAACTCGGGGTAATAATGGCGCGCTCGATGGACCACAAAATGAAATACATTTAAATGAGTTTTAACTTTTAATTAAACTTTTGAGAAAATCCAGATTATAATGTTTTTATTTATTTCGTTTGGTTTATAACACGAGAAAATGGTTATTAAATGAATTAAAATTTAGGCATGATTTTTAAGGTAAATGTAAACACTGAAATGTTTTGCACAAAAAAATTTAATTGATTAAAAATACAATTTCTATATTAATTGATTAAAAATACAATTTCTATATTAATTGATTAAAAATACAATTTCTATATTAATTGATTAATTTATAATTTTAACATTTATTTATAATAATTATTATTCATTCAAAATAAGATTTCCAAATGTTATTATAGTAGTGTCCGTACGGGTCGTGAAGTGGGGGTCGGTTTGGGTCGGGGTTTAAATCTTTCACTTTCGGTACATTCGGATCACTCAACAGTTGCGGCCATTTGTCGTCCAGTTTGCTATCAAATGAAAATTTAAAAAAAAATTTATTAAACTTTAATAAAACAGACAAACATTGAAATCTAATATAAAATAATGTAAAGAATTAAACAAAACATTTACCCGTATTTCGCAAAGTTAGTCCACATCCGCATCACATCACGACTGAACTGACAATCGGTTTCATTATAAGAGTCGACTGTCTGTTCCACAAATGGCTTTCCAAAAACAAACGGTATTTCCATCGCGTGTCCGACAGACGAGTCTTTGTCATCGCATCCAAACTGTTTGGCAAACAACTGGTTTTGATGCGTCAGTTCATAGAAGTATATGTTATGCCGATTGCCAACACTTGTGGCCATTTGTCGGGCGAAGAGATATGTCGGGTATTTAATCCATAAATCGCCAAAATATTGATAAAACGCTCGCTTCAGAGCCGGTGTACTACTCGTGTCCACACCTTTCAGGTAATTGTCGACCACATTCTGGACATCTATGCCGTGAAACATGGCGTCCGACGACTTAACCGCAGCCGTAAAGTCATCCAAAGTAAATACCTTTTTGTCGGGAGGTATGAACATTCTCGATAGGATTGAGCCCTCATTACTAGTGATTCCCGCTATTAGATCAATGTCTGATAGAGATTTATAAAATTATAATTTTATTAAATAATTTTTAACAAAAAATTTTATAAAATAAATTAATAATCAAATTATTGCAATACCAGAATAAAATTGGTTTTCTTTGAATGCTTTTTGAGCAGAAAGTGGCAAAAACTCAGTGCCCGACACCGGGAATGTCACTGATTTTGATTTGTTCACTAATTCCTTGGCCTCAACTGTCCTTAAATACTGAATCCAATCCATGTCTTCACTGCAACCCAACTCTTTGGCTAAACGTTTGACATCGGCTAAGGCTTCATCTTTACTGATCACATCCCTGTCCTTATAATTCATATGAGCGCCGCTTTGCATAATAGCCCTCTTAAACAACCCCTTAGACAATGGGGAGATAATATGTGCCGATACGGACCAACTGCCGGCACTGCCACCAAAAATGGTGATCTGATCCCTATCTCCGCCAAATAGATGAATGTTTTCTCTAACCTATTATTTTCAATATAAATATGTTTTCATTTTATTTACATTAAAACATTGCACTTATAATTACCCATTTGAGTGCCAACAGCTGGTCATAGAGGCCTAAATTTCCGGGCGCGTCCTCCCGATCCCCGTATAAGAAACCAAAGTAACCCAACCTATAGTTCGGGGCCACAAATACCACTCCATGTGTGGCCAGTGGTCCGCCATCGCAGTGGCCATTAATGGAGCCAACAGTGAACCCTCCGCCGTGTATAAAAAACATAACCGGTTTGAGTGATGTTTTATTTGCATTATCTGTGGGTAGAGTTGGTGTCCATATGTTTAGCACAAGACTGTCCTCACTCTGAGTGATGGCAGTGCCTGCAAATGGCATTTCCCTTTGCATACAACTGTTTCCCGGTTTTGTGGCGTCTATAATATCCTAAATATAATGTATAATACAGTTATTATTATTGTTATCTATTAAATAAAATGATATTTAATGACTTACATCCTGTGGTTCTAGAATGGGTTTGGGTTTAGCAAACCTGAGCGCACCGATGGGTGGCTCAGCGTATGGTATGCCTTGAAATTGGTATAGAGTTGTGTTGAGCGCCACAACCACNATGGTATGCCTTGAAATTGGTATAGAGTTGTGTTGAGCGCCACAACCACTCGACCCCTCACTCTTCCCGATGTGGTCTTCACGTCAACACTTGTTGTCATTTTGTAAAAAGTGGTTGCAGTAAAATAAAAATTAATATTACTGTTTGTAATATGATTTTTTAAAAATTATTTCTACAAACGCAACTTAATATGAAATGTTCAGTTTTATGTTCATTTTTATTTTATATAATGAGCGAGTATTTGTTATTAAAAGTAGTAGTGAGTACTTTTTATTATTTAACCATATCATAAATGTACCCAATCTAATATGAATGGGTGTTTCAAAAGTAACCTTTATCAGAATTATATACACATTACATATTACATAGTTGACTTTTTGATAAAATTAATAAATAATGATAACATAAATGTCAATATAAATATTTTTTAAAATTAAAATTAACCTTAATTAGTGGTTATATTTGTATTAACTGGATTATTTATTATAAACATATTTAAACTAAATAACTCAAACACATAACACAAATGTTTGAAGCAAGTAAATCATTATTTTATTGTAATAAATTAAACTGACTTAACAAGTTAATTTTTCATAATCATTTTTAAATTATAGGTCACTAATAATAATTGCTTACTTTGCAATAATGGTTCAGTGATAATTAATCAATAAATCAATTTATTTCAACATTTTAACAAAATTAACAAAATAATTAAAAATCAAAAGTTAACAGCAAACACAAATTATTGCTACATTAATCAACAAATGTAAAAAAAAATCTAGCTACGTTAAAAGTCGAATTAAACAAAGCCGTATCTACCTCCGAGGGCGGCCTGTTGTTGTTGTTGCTGCTGTTGAGCTGCCCCACCAAAACCACCAAGACCACCTAGGCCACCAAATCCACCTAGGCCAGCTTGTTGTTGTTGCTGCTGTTGTTGTTGGGCTGCCCCACCAAAACCACTAAAACCACCCAGGCCAGCTTGTTGTTGTTGCTGCTGTTGTTGTTGGGCAGCTCCTAAGCCATAACCTCCATAACCACCCAACGGGCCAACCAGACCACCGACAGCCGCCTGCTGTTGTTGTTGTTGCTGCTGCTGTTGGGCCGCACCACCAAATCCTCCCAGGCCACCAATACCACCTAGGGCAGCTTGTTGCTGTTGTTGCTGCTGCTGCTGCTGCAGAGCTGCACCACCAAAACCACCTAGGCCACCATAACCGCCTCCGATAGCGGCCTGTTGTTGCTGCTGCTGTTGTTGGGCGGCTAAACCATAACCTCCAATACCACCAAAACCACCTAGGGCAGCTTGTTGCTGTTGCTGTTGTTGCTGCTGGGCTGCGCCACCCAAGCCTCCAATGCCACCTAGGCCACCATAACCACCTCCGATGCCGGCCTGTTGTTGTTGCTGCTGTTGTTGTGCCCATCCGTGGCCGCCATATTTACCTCCGTGGCCGCCCCACAGACCTCCGTGTTTGCCGCCCCACAGACCACCGCCGGCCATTTGCTGTTGTTGTTGCTGCTGTTGTTGGGCTCCCCCACCAAAGCCACCAATGCCTCCAAAACCACCCAGGGCAGCCTGCTGCTGTTGTTGTTGTTGCTGTTGTTGTTGTTGCTGTTGGGCCCCTCCGTGTCCTCCATATTTGCCATCATACAGGCCCCCGAGTGGACCACAATTTGCCAGATACTTACCATACGTCCCGACGGCATTGCGGACCAATACGTTCAAAACCAATACAATTAAACACGTCTTGGAAATCATTTTTTGTGATTTTATTAAATGTAATTAAAATGACTGCGAATTGAAGAGACTGTTATACAAAGTGAACAAAAGTGGTCTGAAGTGACGATCAGTGTATGTCTTATAGAGTACCAGAAGGTTTGCTCAAACATAAGGTGATTCTTATATCAGTTCCAGAAGGTATTTTATTTTGCAAAGTATTGCATTTCCAATTATTACTATTATTTGGCAAAGTTAATCCACATCCGCATCACATCACGACTGAACTGACGATCGGTTCCATTAAAAAAGTCGACTGTCTGTCCCACAAATGGTTATCCAAAAACAAACGGTATTTCCATCGCGTGTCCGACAGCCGAGTCCTCGTCATCGCATTGGAACTGTTTGGCAAAGAACTGGTTTTGATTGCATTATCTGTGGGTAGGGTTGCCAACTGGTCAAGGTTTGCCTTGATTTGCAAGGTGAGAGGGTTCTGGTCAAGGTGAAAGCCGAGGGTCTTACCTTGATATAGACAGGTCAAGGTGCGAGTAAATGTAATTACTGTATGTCTATTATAGGTATTTTTTGTAATGAACACACTATTTAAAACACAGAACTAGATTAAATTAAAATCTAAATTAACATTTTGCTCATATTTGAAAAATATTTATAATCAAATATGAAATAATAATGGTGGTCAAGGTTTGGTCAAGGCGAATTTAGAAAATTTTCAAGGCGGTAGTTGACTAGAGTTGGCAACCCTATCTGTGGGTAAAATTGATGTCCATATGTTTAGCACAAGACTGTCTTCACTCTGAGTGATGGGAGAACTTGCAAATCCCATTTCCCTTTGCATACAAGTGTTTCCCGGTTTTGTGGCGTCTATTATATCCTAAATATAATGCATAATACAGTTGTTATTATTGTTATCTATTAACTATTAAATAGAATGATATTTAATGGCTTACATTTCGTGGCTTATGAATGGGTTTGGGTTTAGCAAACCTGAGCGCACCGATGGGTGGCTCAGCGTATGGTATGCCTTGAAATTGGTATAGAGTTGTGTTGAGCGCCACAACCACTCGACCCCTCACTCTTCCCGATGTGGTCTTCACGTCAATTGTTTCAGCAGTTGNTCAGCGTATGGTATGCCTTGAAATTGGTATAGAGTTGTGTTGAGCGCCACAACCACTCGACCCCTCACTCTTCCCGATGTGGTCTTCACGTCAATTGTTTCAGCAGTTGTTGTCATTTTGTAAAAAAGTCGTTATATTAAAAATTAAAATGTTTAAAATTTAACTGTAAATTGCATATTACAACTTCATATGAAGTGTTCTGTTTTATGTACATTTTTATTTTATATAAGGAGCCCGTATTTGGTTTACTTTTTATTACTTACCCATATCATAAAATGTACTCAATCTAATTTTAAACTTTAAAATTTAAAGGGTGTTTGAAAAGCAACCATTAACAGAATTATATACACATTTCATATTACATAGTTGACTTTTTGGTAAAATTAATAAATAATGATAACATAAATGTCAATATAAATATTTCTTGACTGGATTATTAATTATAAAAATAACTTATGTTTACAAGAAATAACTCAAATATAACACAAATGTATAAAGCAAGTAAATCATTATTTTATTGTATTAAATTAAACTGGCTTAACAGATTAATTTTTTATAATCATTCTCAAATTATAAGTTACTAATAATTGCTTACTTTGTACTAAACATTCAGTGATAATTAATCAATAAAGCAATAAACATTTAATTAAGAAATTAACAAAATAATTAAAAATAAAAAGCTAAAAGCAAACAAAAATTATTGCTACATTAATCAACAAATGTTAAAATAATCTAGCTACGTTAAAAGTCGAATTAAACAAAGCCGTATCCGCCACCGATGCCGGCCTGTTGTTGCTGCTGCTGCTGTTGTTGGGCGGCTCCACCAAAACCACCTAGGCCACCAAATCCACCAAGACCACCTAGGCCAGCTTGTTGTCCTTGTTGTTGTAGTTGACCACCAAAGCCACCAAAACCACCAAGGGCAGCTTGTTGCTGTTGCTGCTGTTGTTGTTGAAGTTGGCCGACATCGCCAAAACCACCAAGACCACCTAGACCAGCTTGTTGTTGCTGCTGCTGCTGTTGGGCTGCACCACCAAATCCTCCCAGGCCACCAATACCACCTAGGGCAGCTTGTTGCTGTTGTTGTTGTTGCTGTTGGGCAGCTCCTAAGCCATAACCACCCAAGCCCCCAATACCACCTAGGGCAGCTTGTTGCTGCTGCTGAGCTGCACCACCAAAACCACCTAGGCCACCATAACCGCCTCCGATAGCGGCCTGTTGTTGTTGTTGCTGTTGTTGGGCGGCTCCACCATAACCACCAATGCCTCCAATACCCCCAAGACCAGCTAGGGCAGCTTGTTGCTGTTGTTGTTGTTGCTGGGCTACACCACCAATGCCCCCAAGACCAGCTAGAGCAGCTTGTTGCTGCTGCTGCTGTTGTTGCTGTTGTGCAGCGCCACCCCAGCTTCCAATGCCACCATAACCACCGCCGATAGCGGCCTGTTGTTGTTGTTGTTGTTGCTGTTGTTGGGCGACTGCACCTAAACCTCCAATACCACCAATACCAGCTAGGGCAGCTTGTTGCTGTTGCTGTTGTTGTTGTTGAGCAGCTCCACCAAAACCGCCAATTCCACCTAGGGCAGCTTGTTGCTGTTGTTGCTGTTGGGCAGCTCCACCAAAACCACCTAGGCCACTATAACCTCCTCCGATAGCGGCCTGTTGTTGCTGTTGCTGTTGCTGTTGAGCGCCTCCACCAATACCAACAATACCACCGATACCACGGATACCACCATGGCCACCCTGCTGCTGTTGTTGTTGCTGCTGCTGTTGCTGGGCACCTCCCCAGCCGCCTCCGAGACCGCCTAAAAATCCTCCGCCACGACCGGCCTGTTGTTGCTGCTGTTGCTGTTGTTGGGCGCCCCCACCAAAACCACCACGGCCAGCTTGTTGTTGTTGTTGTTGCTGCTGTTGTTGTTGGGCGGCCCCACCAAAACCACCAATACCACCAAAACCACCATGGCCAGCTTGTTGTTGTTGCTGCTGCTGTTGTTGTTGGCCACCTCTGCTTCCACCCCACCCACCGATGTTACCGCCAATCAGGCCTCCGGGACCACAACCGGGTAGTAGAGAACCATAAGTGGCGACAGCATTGCGGACCAATACGTTCAGAACCAATACAATTAAACAGGTTTTGGAAATCATTTTTTTGTGATTTTTTAAATGTAGTTAAAATGACTGCGAATTGAAGAGACTGTTATACAGAGTGAACAAAAGTTGTTTGAAATGACTATAAATGTGTGTCTTATTGAGTACCAGAAGGTTTGCTCAAACATAAGGTGATCCTTATAGCAGTTCCAGAAGGTATTTTTAAAGTATTGGATTTCCATTTATTACTAGTATTTGGTAATTTTTAGTTAATTTTAATTTTTTAATAATTTAATATTATGTAATTAGATATATAGTTGACTCTATAGACCAGATTAATTAATTTAGGTGTTGTTAGTTTACTGTCCAAACCAATATGGGTTTAATATTTGATTAACAATTTTATTTAGTTTATAATATATGACCATTTTTATTCATATATAAATATAATGTTTTTTATTGATCATTTATCTTTTGGTTAATAGTAAATAAAATGTTAGTGATTAATAGATTTAGTTTATTTTTAACTTATTTATTGTAATTTCAATATTTAACAAATTAAACTGTAATATAAATTGAATATTATATAAAATATGATTCCCAAAAGTTTTTATATTGAGTGGCGTACGGGTCAGTCAATAGGGGTCGGTTTGGGTCGGGGTTTAAATCCTTCACTTTCGGTACATTCGGATCACTCAACAGTTGCGGCCATTTGTCGTCCGGTTTGCTGTGAAATGAAAAATACAATTTAAAAAATCAATAAAAATTTTAATAAAGCGAAACAATTGGCATTAATTTTAAATTCAAACAAAACTATTTACCCGTATTTCGCAAAGTTAGTCCACATCCGTATTACATCACGACTGAACTGGCGATCAGTTTCATCATAACTCTTGACATTAGGTCCGACAATAGACTTACCAAAGACAAAGGGAATGTCCATACAGTGACCGATACCCGACTCGGGTTCAGAGCACAACAGGTTTATGGCAAACAACTGGTTTTGATGCGTCAGTTCATAGAAGTATATGTTATGCCGATTGCGGACACGACTGGCCAACAGTTTGGCGAACAGATATGTCGGATATTTCATAAATAAATCGCCAAAATATTCATAAAACGCTCGCTTCAGAGCCGGTGTACTACTCGTGTCCACACCTTTCAGGTAATAGTCCATCACTTTTTGAACATCTATGCCATGGAAGAGGGCATCAGAAGCCTTAACATACTTCACAAAGTCATCGAGAGTCCAAACTGGTTTGTCGGGTGCGAGAAACCACCTGGTCAAATTTGAGCCCTCAGTGCTTGAGATGCCCGTCAATAAATCAATACCTGATATAAAATAAATTATTAAATTATTTTTTTTTGATTAATAATCAATATTCATATGTAATTCAAACCGGAATTAAATTTATAATCACGAATCGCCGTTTGGGCCGGAAGTGGCAAAAACTCTGTGCCAAACACGGGAAACATCAAGTGTCGGGAACTCGTCACCAGCTGTTTGGCGTCAACTGTCCGTAAATACTGTATCCAATCCACGCGTTCACTACAACCCAGTTGTTTGGCTATACTTTTGCTTTCAGCCAAAGCGCTGTCTTTGCTGTTCAGATCCCTATCCCTGTGATAAACAACGGCTCCGCTCTGCATAATAGCTCTCTTAAACAGGCCTTTGGATAGCGGGGAGAGTATGTGCGCCGATACGGACCAACTGCCAGAACTCTGTCCAAAAATGGTGATCTGATCCCTATCTCCGCCAAATAAATGAATGTTTTCTCTAACCTATTGTTATATCATTAATACTGATTCAGTATTTATTATTCAATTAATAAATAATGATTAAAGTGAATGTAATACCCATTTGAGAGCCAAAAGCTGATCCCAAAGGCCCACATTTCCGGGCGCGTCCTCCCGATCCCCGTATAGGAACCCAAATTGTCCGACTCTATAGTTCGGGGCCACAAACACCATGTCGTGTGCGGCCAGCGCTGAGCCGTTGAATTGATCAATATTACCAAAGCTATTGCCGCCGCCGTATATCCAAAACATAACCGGTTTGAGTGACTGATTGGTTGTATTATCTGTGGTGTCTATTATAGTTGGTGTCCATATGTTTAGCACAAGACTGTCTTCACTCTGTCGGACAGGAGAGGGATAAAACGGTACTTCCATTTGCATACAACTGTTCCCATTTTTTGTGGCGTCTATTATATCCTAAAATATTAATTTATTTATTATTTATTTGTGTTTTAATAGTAATTATAACTAACATTTTGTGGCTTTTTAATGGGCTCGGGTTTAGCAAACCTGAGCGCACCGATGGGTGGCTCAGCGTATGGTATGCCTTGAAATTGATATAGAGTTGTGTTGAGCGCTGACACCACCCGACCCCTCACTGTTCCCGATGTGGTCTTAATTATAGTATTTGCTATCATTTTGTGTTTTAAATAAACGAGATATTTTACAATATAATTAATTAGTGATGATTTTAATTGTAAATTTAAAACATAATGCAATCGCGTGACTATATTGTTATCTATTTTAATTTTGATCTACAACGCGCACAGCTTTTGATTATTATTTCAATAATTACCATTTAACAAGTACTAGTTAACAACAACCAATTAAACTATTTGTATATTTATTGTATTTTGTCTAGCATTATAAATAAAATCTTTAAAAATTTTAATTAATGTTTTATTATATCAAACATTTAACAAATAGTTTTTTAAATAATGTATTACATTCTGCCATTGATATAACTTATATCATATAAGAAACTCGTTTACATTGATATACAACTGAAATTGTGTTCCTTATATCGAATTCCCCTTCTATTAAGTTTGGATTAAACCTAACAAAAATTATTGAAACAATCAAAATAAAGGATTATAAGTTATAACCATTAACAGCCAAAAGTAGGCTTTGCCTATATACACCCATAGACTTTACATTACACACTTTACAGTAGTTTTAATGCATTAGTGCTATCTGAATGCTATCTGTGGTTCCTAATGGTTATAACATTTAATTATTACACTTTTGTCAACTATTATAATTTTATTTTCTAATTTATTTATTAAATTTGTTGATTCTGTACTTCGTTTCGTAAAACTTGAATAAAATATCTCATATTTTACAAGTTATTAATTTTTAAAAACTAAAAATCCTTAGACATACTTAAAAGCAACCATGTATCAGTTATATTAATATTAAAAATATGATTCCCATAGATCTGTATAGCGTTGACCGTACGGGTCGTGAAGTGGGGGTCGGTTTGGGTCGGGGTTTAAATCATTCACTTTTGGTACATTCGGATCACTCAACAGTTGCGGCCATTTGTCGTCCGGTTTGCTATAAAGTAAAATTATTTGTAGAACAAAAAATTTTGCAAATTAAGCATTAATTTTGAATTTAAATATATACCCGTATTTCGCAAAGTTAGTCCACATCCGCATCACATCTCGACTGAACTGACAATCGGTTTCATCAAAAAAGTCAACCATTTCTGGCAATAAAGGCATACCAAAGACAAACGGTATGTCCATTCCGTGTTCGACACCCGACTCCTCGTCATCGCATTGAAACTGTTTGGCGTAGAACTGACTTTGATATGAGAGTTCATAGAAGTATATGTTATGCCGATTGCCAACAGTTGTGGCCATTTGTCGGGCGAATAGATATGTCGGGTATTTTATCCATAAATCGCCGACAAATTCATAAAACGCTTGCTTCAGAGCAGGTGTACTACTCGTGTCCACACCTTTCAGATAATAGTGTATCACTTTTTGAACATCAATGTTATGATAGATATCGTCCGATGCCTTAACTCCAAACATGAAATCATTTAAAGTCCAAACTTCTTTGTCGGGGGCTATAAATAGTTTTGTTAGAGTTGAGCCCTCAGTGCTATTGATGCCCGCCATTAGATCGATGTCTAAATAAAATATAATTAATTAATACAATATTTACAGTACTTTTAAATGTAAAATTAGTTTTTGTATAAAAATTTTAACTGGAATTTAAATTATTAGTTGCATATGCCGTTTGAAAAGAAAGTGGTAAAAACTCTGTTCCCAACACCGGATATGTAATTAAGTTTGTTTTTTCCACCAGATCTTTGGTCCCAATAGTCCGTAAATACTGAATCCAATCCATGTCTTCACTGCAACCCAACTCTTTGGCTATACGTTTGCCATCGGCTAAGGCTTCAGCTTTAGTGATCACATCCCTGTCCGTATTACACATATGAGCGCCGCTTTGCATAATAGCCCTCTTGAATAAGCCTTTGGATAGCGGGGAGAGTATGTGCGCCGATACGGACCAACTGCCGGCACTCACACCAAAAATAGTGATTTGATTCTTATCTCCGCCAAATACATGGATGTTTTCTCTAACCTATTATTAAATTAATAATTTACATAAATACAAGTTAAAACAATTGCCCTAGAAAAATAATAATGCGCTTAATATTTACCCATTTGAGAGCCAATAACTGGTCATAAAAGCCTACATTTCCGGGCGCGTCCTCCCGATCCCCGTATAGGAAACCAAACAATCCTAACCTATAGTTCGGGGCCACAAATACCACGTCGTGTGCGGCCAGTGGTCCGCCGTTGTACATGTCAATTGTCCCAAAGCTAAGCGCTCCGCCGTATATCCAAAACATAACCGGTTTGAGTGACTGATTGGTTGTGTTATCTGTGGGTAGAGTTGGTGTCCATATGTTTAGCACAAGGCTGTCCTCGCTTTGGTTCTCTACTTCTGGAAAATTCTGAAATTTCTTTTGAAAACAAGAGTTTCCCGGTTTTGTGACATCGATTATATCCTAATTATTAAATATAATAAAATATTTGTATTATTTTTATATAAATTTTATAATAACTTACATCTCTAGGTCGTTGAATGGGTTTGGGTTTAGCAAACCTGAGCGCACCGATAGGTGGCTCAGCGTATGGTATGCCTTGAAATTGGTATAGAGTTGTGTTGAGCGCCACAACCACTCGACCCCTCACTCTTCCCGATGTGGTCTTCACGTCAACACTGGTTGTCATTTTGTAGATAATGTTAACACAATATTTAGTATATTAATTAAAACAGTATAAATGGTTTTGTGTTACACTTGAAATAAATTTTTTAATAAAGCACGTCAGACCCGAGTGATGATTACTAATTATTTAAAACTATTTATACAGTGCAACTTCTCTATAAGAAACGGTCAGTTTATGACAAAATTGTTTCTTATATTTACCAAGGGGAGTTAGTATATAAACACTATAAACATCATATTTGTATTTTAAAGTAAGTTAAATTAATATAAGTCATAAGTTTTTAATTTATTATCTGATAAATGATACATTAGTATTGTTTAGCTGACTTAAACTGATTTAATTTCAAAACACACATACTATATTTGTTACGGTAATACAAAATAAAATGTACAATAAAATCAGTACTTGTGTAGTAAATGATTGCTGTGTGAATCGATTGTCACCGATTGTCCGGTGCTTTCTGTTATACAATTTTTATGTATCGGATATTACTTTGCTCTACACTCAGGCCATAAGCCAACTATAACTGGCAATTGAGTTAAATGATACATATATTATAATTAAAGTAATATGAAATTTATTTTTAATTTCAAAGATAAAACTTTAATCAAAATTAATTATTAAATTTTATAATCATAATGCAGGTAGATATAAAACTATTCATAACACAAATGAAAATATTGTTTTATAAATTTTAAATAATTATAATAATAAAATAACACATTTATATTTAATTATTTTTAAAAATATAATTCCCAAAAGTTTTTATAGTGAGTGGCGTAGGGGTCAGTCAGTAGGGGTCGGTTTGGGTCGGGGTTTAAATCCTTCACTTTCGGTACATTCGGATCACTCAACAGTTGCGGCCATTTGTCGTCCGGTTTGCTATCAAATGAATAAATTATATAAATATAATATTAGTTTAATAAATATAACTCGAATTAAAGCGATACTTTAAAAAATACTATAATAATTTGAAATATACCCATATTTTGCAAAGTTAGTCCACATCCGCATCACATCACGACTAAACTGACGATCAGTTTCATCCGATCCGTCGACCATTTCGTCCATAAATGGCATCCCAAACACAAACGGGACGTCCATTCCGTGGCCGACAATCGAGTCCTCGTCGTCGCCACCAAATACTTTGAAGAAGAATGGGCTCTGATATGAGAATTCATAGAAGTATATGTTATGCCGATTGCCAACAGTTGTGGCCATTTGTCGGGCGAATAAATATGTCGGGTATTTCATGAATAAATCGCCTAAATATTCATAAAACGCTCGCTTCAGAGCAGGTGTACTACTCGTGTTCACATGTTTCAGATAATAGTCCATCACTTTTTGAACATTAATATTGTGAAGCATGTCATCTGTGGTCTTTACCCCAGCAATAAAGTCACTCAAAGTAAACACTTCTTTGTCGGTGTCTATGATTACTTTGGATAAGAGTGAGCCCTCAGTGCTGGTGATGCCCAGCATTAGATCGATGTCTAAATTAATAATTATAATAACAAGTATACAGTCATGACATTTTTGATAATTTTGGTAAGTATTAATCAACAAAACATAATTTAATATTATAAACATTTAAAAACCTAAATTGAATTCATTTTTCTCGAGAGTCGTTTGAGCTGAAAGTGGTAAAAACTCAGTGCCAAATACCGGGAATGTCACTAATTTTGATTTTTCAACAAGTTCATTGGCGTCAACTGTACGTAAAAATTGAATCCAATCCATGTCTTCACTCCAACCCAACTCTTTAGCTATACGTTTGCCATCGGCTATGGCTTCAGCTCTACTGATCACATCCCTGTCCTTATTATACAAAAGAGCGCCGCTTTGCATAATAGCCCTCTTGAATAAGCCTTTGGATAGCGGGGAGAGTATGTGCGCCGACACCGACCAACTGCCAGCGCTCTGACCAAAAATAGTGATTTGATTCTTATCCCCGCCAAACGAATGGATGTTTTCTCTAACCTATTGTTAAATTAATAATTTACATAAATACAAGTTAAAACAATTGCTATAGAAATATAATAATGCAATTAATATATACCCATTTGAGAGCTAATAACTGGTCATAAAAGCCCACATTTCCGGGCGCGTCCTCCCGATCCCCGTATAGGAAACCAAACGGTCCTAACCTATAGTTTGGGGCCACAAATACCACGTCGTGTGCGGCCAGTGGTCCGCCGTTGTACATGTCTATAGTCCCAAAGCTAAGCGCTCCGCCGTATATCCAAAACATAACCGGTTTGAGTGACTGATTAGTCGTGTTATCTGTGGGTAGAGTTGGTGTCCATATGTTTAGCACTAGACTGTCCTCACTTTGATTGAGTGGTTTTGGGCAAAACGGACATTGATTTTGAAAACAAGAGTTTCCCGGGTTTGTAGCGTCTAGTATACCCTAATTGTTATTTAAAATAAATTATTATTAATAATAATTATTTATTCTATAATGTTTTTAAAACTTACATCCCGTGGCTGTTGAAGGGGTTTGGGTTTAGCAAACCTGAGCGCACCGATGGGTGGCTCAGCGTATGGTATGCCTTGAAATTGGTATAGAGTTGTGTTGAGCGCCACAACCACTCGACCCCTCACTCTTCCCGATGTGGTCTTCACGTCAGCAGTTGTTGTCATTATTAAATTTATTATTATAATTATTATATAAACCAAATTATATGAAAGTTTACAAGTATTAAGGTTACTAAAATATGAAATGTGCATTTATATCTACTATAAATTATTAATAATATTTTTAGTATTTTATAGAATAATTTAAATATCTTTCAACAGAACTTCCATAAATACATGTTAATTAATCTATTATACAATAAACATGTTTTCTATTAAAAGCAATTAACTATAATATCAAAGCTGACATAAATGTGTTATTCATTGTAATTATTATTAAGAGCACAGAATATACTTACGAGTTAATATAGTTTGTAATAAACTTTGTTTTAGTTATTTAAATAAACTTTCAATTTTATTATCTTTGTAACAATATGGTCTAAAATGTAAATTTTAAATCTGTTATTATGTAATTACAATATCTATATATAAATAATTCAATAAAGTACCATTATTAAATAATAATTATTAAATTATGAATATTTTACTTAATATAAAACTACATTATTGAGTTGTAGTAAACAGTTAAATGATATATAAATTATCCCCACCATCAATGGGCTGTAACTTGTAAATTATAAAATAACCCAGAATATTGTAACAATTAGGTGTAATTTAGTAATAAGTTATTACTAATAAAAATAAAATGTTAGCAATCTAGTAAAAATTATATTAAGTTTATAACCCACAACATAAGTGATTTAATAAATTGTTACGTGGTAAGCAAACATGATTGGTTAAATTAGAGTTTGATTTTAATCTTTTGTGACAATATTTACATTTAAATACTTTTTTATACAAATGATAACTTTTGTGACGAAACAATTCATTAATATTTTTAAAACTTTTACGGCATTCATTAAAATCACAAACAAATATCACTTGTGAATGAACCATGTTTTTATGGAGAGTTAACTTTTGTTGAGTTGTATAAATTTTATTACAATTATTAAAATCACATTTTAATTGTTTCATTTCTGCGTGAATTAATTGATGTGCGTTTAAACGGTGTTTAGTTATTGTCTTGAATTGACATTTAGGCCAAAAACAGCGAAAGTATTTGCTTTTGTTATTAATTAAAAGCATTTTATCACTAATTTTACATGAATTGCAATCAATTGTTTGATTGATTGAAAAATAATCATTATTTTCGCATTCAATCGCTTCACACAAAACACTATTATTTGTATTCAAAATACACTGAATTTTGTCTATTATTTCACACAAACTCTTCATTGCATTTAATTTACACTTCATTGCAATCAAAGAAACGCTCATTAAATTTGAACACATTTTATAAAATTACATGAAAATTAAAATTTTTAATTAAATCTTATAGTCTAATATTTAACTTGATGAAGTTTTAAATACTTTAGTGTCAGTTATTATTATTGTTTTCGTTGTATTGTTTTACAAGAAAATCAGTGGTTTTGGTGAACACCTGAGGCCTGACTTAACCTTCAGTTCAAACAAACCAATAATAAATACAAACAATGGGTTCAGAGGTAGAGGAGAGAGAGAGAGAGAGAGACTAAAATTGTAAAACAAAAATACCTGTTAAACAGATGAATGCAAATACACTGCCGGTTAAATAATATTCATTGAAAACACGTGTTAATTATATCAATTGATATCTGCCTTAATATTTCATTAATATTAGTGATTTGTTTTGTAGTGATATATAATTTTAATTTAAAATGTGTTCAAAATTAATGAGTGTTTCGTTAATTGAAATGAAGTTGAAATTGAATGCAATGAAGAGTTTGTGTGAAATAATAGACAAAATTCAGTGTATTTTGAATACAAATAATAGTGTTTTGTGTGAAGCGATTGAATGCGAAAATAATGATTATTTTTCAATCAATCAAACAATTGATTGCAATTCATGTAAAATCAGTGATAAAATGCTAAACAATTGTCATATCATTACTAAATCTGATGATTATTATCACTGTTTTTGGCCTAAATGTCAATTCAAAACTACATCTAAGATTGAATTAACTCGACATCAATTAATTCATTTACAAATAAGACAATTTAAATGTGATATTAATAATTGTAATAAAATCTTTGTAAACATTTCAAGTTTATATTATCACAAAACTAGTTATCATTTAAATGTGAGATTTATTTGTGATTTCAATGAATTCAACAAAAGCTTTGCATCAAAACAATATTTAGTTAATCACAAAAATTGTGTTCATTTTATTGATGACAAAAATAGTGCAAATTATTACAACTGTTTTTGGCCTAATTGTCAATTTAAAACTCAATTAAAGAGCGCTTTAAAAGGACATCAATTGATTCATTCAAATCTCAAACAATTTAAATGTGATTTTAATAATTGTAATAAAAGTTATAAAAATAGATCTGAATTAAATCAACACAAAAAAGCTGTTCATTTAAATGTGAGATTTGTTTGTGATTTCAATGAATGCAACAAAAGTTTTAGAAGAAAAGGAGATTTATTTCGACACAAAAGTTGTGTTCATTTGAATGAAAGGAAATTCAAATGTAATGAAAAAAATTGTGGCAAAAAATTCACTTTAAAACGACATCTCATTCGACACAAACGCATACATTCGGGAGAAAAACCCTCTGTTTATAATGATAACGATTAAAACTTAAGTTTTAATTGCACAGCTAACTTTAATCTACACCAATACTTTCATAAAGATTAATACAATATAAATATAATTTTTAATAATTGTAATTTTAAAATAAATATTTCATTACTTAACTTGTATTAGTTTACTTTAAAATAACCTGATGTAATTAAATTAAAATTATTGATTATATTGTTAATTTATCATTTCATATATTTTATGCGTAATTTTATCATTTTTAAACACAATAAACAAAACTTTATGACATTATTTTTATACAGTATAGTGGCTAAAATTTCAATATTAACAAGCATTAGTTCCATTGATTTAACAGTACTTTATTAGTGATTTACAAATAGAGAATTTAATAAGAAAATTGTGGTTAAAAATATGATTTCCAAACTTTGTTATATAAATAAATGTACGGGTCGTGAAGTGGGGGTCGGTTTGGGTCGGGGTTTAAATCCTTCACTTTCGGTACATTCGGATCACTCAACAGTTGCGGCCATTTGTCGTCCGGTTTGCTATCAAATCAAAAAAATTTCAAATAATAATAAATTAACATTAATAATACAGACAATGTAACAAACTATGAATGTTATTAATTTGTGTTAGTGTTAGTATAAAATTGCAAAAACAAACAGAATATTTACCCGTATTTCGCAAAGTTAGTCCACATCCGCATCACATCACGACTAAACTGGCGATCGGTTTCATCAAAGGCGTGGGCCCAGTGGTCAACGAAAGGCATGCCGAACACGAAAGGTATGTCCATTATGTGTCCGGCAGTCGACCCCTCGATATCGCACTTAAAAACTTTGGCAAAGAACTGGTTTTGATGAGTCAGTTCATAGAAGTATATGTTATGCCGATTGCCAACAATTGTGGCCATTTGTCGGGCGAATAAATATGTCGGGTATTTTACCCATAAATCGCCGACAAATTCATAAAACGCTCGCTTCAGAGCCGGTGTACTACTCGTGTCCACACCTTTCAGGTAATAGTCCATCACTTTCTGAACATCTATGTTGTGAAACATGTCGTCCGTTGACTTAACCGCCACAACGAAGTCATCCAAAGTAAATACCTCTTTGTCTGGCGGTAAGAATGGTTTAGATAGTGAAGAGCCTTCAGTGCTGGTGATGCCCGCCATTAGATCGATGTCTAATGTGATAAATAATAGTTTAGTAAATATAATGTAAAATTATACTTGTTGATTTAATGAACAATTCAAACCGTTAAAAATTTTATTCTCATTAAACGCATTTTGAGCAGAAAGTGGTAGGAATTCTGTGCCCAAAACCGGATATGTGTTATAGTTCACCATTTTTACCAAATCTTTGGCCTCAACTGTCCTTAAAAACTGAATCCAATCCATGTCTTCACTCCAACCCAACTCTTTGGCGATACGTTTTCCATCGGCTAAGGCTTCAGCTTTACTGATCACATCCCTGTCCTTATTATACATATGAGCGCCGCTTTGCATAATAGCCCTCTTGAATAGGCCTTTACTTAACTGTGACAACAAGTGTGCGGACACAGACCACGCGCCGGCACTCTCACCAAAAATGGTGATCTGATCTCTATCTCCGCCAAACAAATGTATGTTTTCTCTAACCTATTATCGTATTATTATTAATAATTTATTAATTCAAATATTATTTCTTTAACTTTAAATATCAATTATAATTTACATCAATTGAATTAAAAATAAATGTTCTACCCATTTTAATGCCAATAACTGGTCATAAAGTCCCACATTTCCGGGCGCGTCCTCCCGATCCCCGTATAGAAATCCAAACTGTCCTAACCTGTAGTTCGGGGCCACAAACACCACATCGTGTGCGGCCAGTGGTCCGCCGTTGTACATGTCAATTGTCCCTATTGTAAGTCCGCCGCCGTATATCCAAAACATAACTGGTTTGAGTGCCTGATTCGTTGTGTTATCTGTGTTTAGAGTTGGTGTCCATATATTTAGCACAAGACTGTCTTCACTCTGAGTGATGGGAACAATAGTCCATGATGACACTTTTTGCATGCACGAATTACCCGGTTTTGTGGCGTCTAATATACCCTAATTATTAAATACAATAAAATAATTTCTTACATATAAGTAATATTTGTATGAAGTATACTTACATTTCGTGGCTTTTGAATGGGTTTGGGTTTAGCAAACCTTTTGGCACCGATGGGTGGCTCAGCGTATGGTATGCCTTGAAATTGGTATAGAGTTGTGTTGAGCGCCACAACCACTCGACCCCTCACTCTTCCCGATGTAGTCTTAATTATAATATTTGCTGTCATTTTGTTATTACTGTATATTTGAAATGTATTTTATTTGTTTATAAAGTTATGTTATCTATTATGTTATCACATTTATTAACTTACCATTAATGTTTATAACTTCTCTATCCGGTACGGGTTGTTATGTATGTATAGACAGTGACCACGAGATGGGTATTCTTGTGTTAGATCGTGCCACAATATTTTTAACAAATATTTTTACAAAAAAAACACATATCAATGTTAGTTTTTTAATTACAGTATGAAAACTACTGTACATTTTAATTTAAATAGTAATGGTGATAAAAATACAATATTTATCAATAATAAATCATCATGAATCATGATGTTAACACGTTACGATAGTATATGTATTATAAACATATTGCTTAACATAACTTTCAAAAATATTGTGAATGTTTTATGAAACTAAAATTATCAATGTAATAACATTATGATGTGGGTCAGATTTGTGAATTTAAAATTAAAACAATTTATCAATAGTACCAACAATAATCTCCAATAGTAATAAGACTGTAATCATATACTATTATACTTACAAGTTTTTAATGTCTTTAGTTCATAATCAGATAGTAAATGCTATATCGAGGGCTATTTATCACTGAATTGTGAGAATTTATTACAAGTTTGCACTAATTGTCATATTTAGTATAAACAAAATTGTATTTATAAAATACAAGTTGATTTAATTCAAATTTCATGATTTATAATTTGCATTATATAAATAAAATGCATAGAATGCATGAAATAAATTAATTTCATATTTAAATGTATATTATTTTCATGTTAAATTAAATGTGATCTTGATTTATAACTTTTATTACAATTATTAACATCACATTAAAATTGTTTTACATTTGAATGAACGAATTTATGTGCTTTAAAACACCACTTATTTCTTGTCTTATACTGACATTTAGACCAAAAACATCTATAAATTATCGCATTATTTGAATGTATAATTTTGTGATTCATTAAATTACATTTTTTTCTAAAACCTTTGTTACAATCAATAAAATCACAAACAAATGGCTTTTCTCCCGAATGTATGAATTTATGTTGAATTAAACTTTGATTTGATGTAAATTTTAGGCCACAATTTTCTTCATTACATTTGAATTTCCTTTCATTCA